AGAAAATAACAGTAACTGAAGAAAAGGAAATGTTTTAAATTTACCTTAATCTCATTGTTCTTTTGCCTGTATTTGGGAATAGAAACCATTTCGCTAGCTGAATCAACCACAACTATCCCCAAACGTTCTTAATTACTGATTTCAATAAATATATTCCTGCAGTGTAAGAAATGAAGTTTATACCCAGGTATTTCTCTTACAAGCATCCATTTTGACATATAAACCTTGATTGTGTGAAAGTGGTTGGGCAACAGGGAACTGGCCTTGAACTGAGTTTCAAACTGGATTCTCTTGTCTATTTGGGGGGTTGGGGCAGGAGGGTGGCAAATGTTGGTATTATTAGCTATCACCTATGTGAGTCCTTTGAACCAAGCGGTGTATATGGAATCAATGAGTACTTAAAGCACATTTAAATAATTTCAGTTCTGATATGAAAAAAACAGCCATTAAGCCTAAACGACTTTTTGTCGAAATTACAGGTAGGTGGGCATTTGCAGAGTAAGATCACAGTTCGGATTGGAATCAGATATTCACGTGGGGAGGCAGTTCTGAACATTCTTTCTAATTTTTTTTTGACATTTATTTATTTTTGAGAGACAGAGAGAGCCAGAACATGAACAGGGGAGGGGCCGAGACATGGAGAGACCCAGAGTCTGAAGCAGGCTCCAGGCCCTGAACTGTCAGCACAGAGCCCGACGCGGGGCTTGAACTCATGAGCCGTGAGATCCTGACCTGTGCGGAAGCTCAACCGACTGAGCCAGCCAGGCGCCCCATGAACATTCTTTCTAAATGCTGGGGGTGGGGAGGAGGGGAGGGGATGAGAGCTGAGTCCCCCTCGCGCTTCCATCTTACTCCTTTTCTCGTAGTTTCTGCTGTTTCTCTAGACTTTCTGCCCTGACTGCTTCCAAGTCGAACGAAAGGAGCAGAGGCCTCTGGTTCAGGCGGACTGGAGATGAAAGAGAGTCACTAGCTACATTCCCATGAATATTTTGAAACACTGTGGACACCCCAAGTATGCAGGGCCAGGGCGCAGAGAACGTCACCGCCGCCGACGTGCCTCGTCGCACCCGTGCAGGCGGGGCGTGCTGCCACCGAGGGACACACGTAGGCTCGCCGCGATCAGCCACCGCAGTCCCCGGGTCGCCAGTCCCCGGGTCCTTCCCCGCAGGGGCCCCCACCTTCACTTCCAGGCCAGTGGGCCCGGACCTTCTGACCTGAGGGTGAACTGAGGGCTGGTCCTGCCCCAGCCCAGCCTCCCCACCCCTCCCTAGCCTGTCCCCAGGCAGGTGCCGCCCAGCATCCTGGCCACATCACGACCCTTTCGCGCTCAGATCCAGTGCGGGGCGCGGGGCGCGAACTGGAGCGCAGAGTCAAGATTCCCGAGAGGAAACGGAGGCTGGCGGGGCAGCGAGGGGCCGCGATGCTTCTGCCTCCACCGCCGAGGGCGGGCGGCAGGGAGGGGGCGGCGGCTGCGGGTCCGCAGGCGGACTGGGGGTCGCAGTACCGCCGGCATCTACGTCCAGGGGTACCTGGGTTCTTGGGGTTCACCAGGGGAAGGAAGACGAAAACCCACCTGGGAAGGAAAAACCCACTCTCGTGACTCCCCCGCCTCCTCGCTGGCGGTCTGGGGTCCAGTCTGGTAGTTCTGCGTGGCCCTGGGCGTGGCCAAGTGCCCTCTAGGCCGTGACCTTCCCACCGCTCCGCCCACGGGCTACGCAGAGAAGCGCCGAGGGCCGCTGGGGAACCGACGGCGCCAGCTTGGGGGCTGCCGGACGCTGGGGGCAGCAATGCGTTTGGTGGCACGCCGAGCCTGGGGCAGGGAGCCGAGAGGGAGGGTTTGGGCACCCAATCCTTTTAGGCCCGGGTCTCCGCGACCCGCCCGAGGCCCAGGCAGGAGAAGGTCGCCGGCGCCCACAGGGTTAGTGGTTCAAAAACCACATAGGGCCCGGTACCACCGCCTAAGGGTCTTGGGGCGAGTTTCCCAATTTCACCAACTCGCAAACTTTTTGCCTGTGTAACGGGGACTCGAGCGTGTCTTTGGCACTGGGTGCTGGGAGGGTTAAAGGGGAACCCAGTGCCCGGCAGGCAGGGAACGGGGGACAACGGTTAGCCGCCATCCATACTGTTGTTAGTTATTAGTGTTATTATCAGCCGGTGGGACCCGAGGGAGAGTCGCTTTCCCCGGCTTACCTCCAGCCCTGGCCCCAGCCTCTCCGCACCTCCCAGGCCCGCCGGCGGCTCAGGAAGCCTCAAGAAGTCAGCCCGGGGGCGCCTGGGTGGCGCAGTCGGTTAAGCGTCCGACTTCAGCCAGGTCACGATCTCACGGTCCGTGAGTTCGAGCCCCGCGTCAGGCTCTGGGCTGATGGCTCGGAGCCTGGAGCCTGTTTCCGATTCTGTGTCTCCCTCTCTCTCTGCCTCTCCCCCGTTCATGCTCTGTCTCTCTCTGTCCCAAAAATAAATAAACGTTGAAAAAAAAAATTTAAAAAAAGAAGTCAGCCCGGCCTCAAGAAGACGAGCCCGAAGGTCGAAGGCGACCCCACAACTCCGAGGCGCTGTGCCTTGCGCGCCACGCAGGGGTTCCCAACAGACCCGCGCAGTGGTCTTGACAGCAGCGGGGTCCCGGGAGGCGCCCGGACGCCCCTGCGCAGACCCGCCGTGCTGCGCCGCCTGCAGCGAGGGCTCGTCCTCACCACGGGGGCTGGGGTGCCGGGCGGGTCACCCCGCGGGCCCCCCGGAAGGCCCCACCTGTGCGCGCGGACCCCTAGCGCCACGTTCGACTGGAGATCAACGTTTAATTCACTCTCCCACCGAATAGACGGTTTTCTTGAAAATTCATCCCTCGATACGGTTTCATTAGGTAAAAAGTATAAAAAGTAGGAGAGTGGGGGCCGGCTTGGGCCAGGTTGTGACCCTCAGACACCGGTGCTCGTGACCGTGCTGGTCTGGGGCCCAGGGAAGGAAGACACCGGCGTCGGCCTCGAGTGTCGCCTCTGGGCTCGGTGGCGGCTCCACCTGTCGCTCCCACAAAGTTTGTTGACTGAATAAAAGGAACGCACGTAGGCCTGGAAATGTGTTCGCACAAAGGGCAAGGGGGAGTTGGCACGGGAAGGGGAGAGTTCTTGGTGTGACAGAGGCTCCCTTTATTACGGCTTGTTGCCAAATACAGGTAACCCCAGACCTGCAGAACGCGCTAAACGGATCCTAAAGCTGGGGTGCGGAGGGTGAGACAGAACCCGGCAAAACCCTGAGAAGGGAAGGTGGCGGGGGAGAAGGGGCTTTTGGGGGCGCATCGGGGCCACAGAAGGGAACTGCTGGTGCCCGCGGAGCGAGCGGGCGAAGGCTGCGCTGCGCGTGCAGGGCCGAGGGAGAACGGAAGCCCGCGTCTAGGCGGCTCCCAGGGGCTGGGCTTGGGAACCTTCCAGAACGTCTCCAGAACCGTACTACTTCAAGCCCGGAGCAGGTGAGGATCGCGCGCAGGACTTGCAAGGAGGTTCTGAGAGATGGGGAGGAGATGAGAAGCTGGGGTAAAAGTGGACCAATTGGACAGCCGTAAAAATGTGTGCCTCGATCTGCCCTCCCTCCCGGAACCAGAAATTCACAGCGGGAACTGCGGAGTAGATGAAGGGGAACGACCTTCTCACACTTTCCAAGTGGCTTCTCCCACAGCAGCACCAAGGAATGTGGTTCTTCTGAAACAGGAGCCCTGAGAGGCCGGGGAGTGCGGCGGGGTCTCTCGGAACTTGCTGTCTCTGGGGCTATTTCCTGATGGGCGTCTTCCTCTTGTTTCCCACCCACCCGGTCGCCAGAAGCCTGAGGACAGTGAAACCCTTCTGGTGGCAAAGTTCTCGGAGAACTTCTTTTCGAAACAACTAAGTTCTTCCTGTACCAAAGAAAGGGGCAGGCATCCGTCTGGGGGGGAAAAAAAATTTTAATTGTAAATTGTCCAGAACACAAATGTTACCTTTGATCCTTCCTTTTTCCCTGGCCCTGCTTTGGAAAATTCTGACGCTTTTATAAAAATTGCCTTTTATTTTTTTCCTGGGAAATGTTGGCCGCTACCTTCTAAATTGATCTCAAGTGGCGCCCCACTGTATTCAGGTGAAAATCAACATCTTTAGAAACATGAAAAACGAATGGAAAATGTACTTACATTTCCCTCCAATTCTTTTTCTTCTACAGATTTCATAAATTCCATATACCATATTTTAAAGCCCAGGACGTCAAATATTCGGAAGTTTTCCAGGCCATGTTGGAAAATTGTTTCTGATGCCTGTAGTGAATACGAATCGTAAAACTAACTTGTTCCCTGGGAGGAAAGATCTAAGTTTCAAGAGAAGTTCCATTTAGAAAGCGATTATTGAGAAGTAAATACGAAATAAGTAATATGGTGTGGTGACTTAGCATTTTATTTAGTCTATATAGCTAGCTTTAATTTTAGCATCTTTCCACATCAGACACACACATTAGAAGTCAACGCTTTAAAATTAAAAGTCTATATTACGCATCGATTTCAGGAAGACAGAAAGAACAAGTATTTTGCACTTGACCAGGGAATAATATTTGCAATTCCTAGGGAGTCAACGAGGGGAAACAGGTTGTGCATTGGGCATTTATTTTCTTTATTTTTTTCTTCTTTTTCTTTTTTTAAATACCAGAACAAAGTGTCCCACTCACGTTCACAGTTACTCTGGAAATGGGTAATGGGAAAAACCCTGGAAGCCACAACTGGAGGCTGGAAAAGTGAGGGCGAGAGTGGACGCCATCGGAAGGTTACGCCCAGGTGGCCGCACAGTATCCAACTTTTCCTCTGTGCGTAGTCGGCAGCGATCCGCACCGTGGTCCAGTTCGTGGTGCTTGCGACGCGGAGTTCGGACGCGCCCCCGTGGTCCCCGCCCCGCGGGGCGGCGTGCGCGAGGGCGGGCGGCGCGAAGGGCCGTCCCCCGGCTTGGCTCCAGGGGTGTCCGGCGGGGTCAGCGCCAGGACAGCGTTGCGGATGCCGCTCAGAAGTCCGGCAGGATGCTCTCCCTGCCGGAAAGGCTGGCCACCGCTGTCGGCCTGGAGCCTCCCGCTCCGGGCGGACACCCCAGGCGCGCCGCGGACAGGTGCTGGCCCGGCAGAGCGCCCTCGCTGGGAGCGCGGCCGCTGGTACAGTCCTCCTGCTGCCGCCGCTGCTGCTGCTGCTGCTGCTCTAACACGGTCCGGGCAGCGGACGCCGCAGAGGCAGCCGACACGTGCAGCAAAGGGGTGGCCGCCCGGTGATGCACCAGGCACGACGAGCGCTGCAGCAGGTGGCAGTAGCCCCACGGGGTCGGGGGCAGACTCTGCGCGGCCCTCGTCCCCCCTCCTCCTCGGACCCCTCGCATGATGCTCTCGATGCTGAAGGGGGCGCATCCGTCTCCCGGCCGCGCCGCCGACCCCTTGCCCTCCTCCCAAGGCTGGGAGCCCGGGGAGGGCCGCACGGCCGAGGGGGCGCCGGGGGTGGCCGGGTCCGCGCCTGGCGCCTTCCCGGGCGTCTCGGCGTAGGCCGGGGCCGACAGCAGCAGGTAGCGAAGGGGGTGCGGGTGCAGCAGCGCGCACGGGCGGCTCCCGGAGGCGGCGGCGGGGTAGGCCCCCGGCACTGGGGGCGGCGGCGCCGGGCTCCCGAGCAGCAGGCCCGGGTGGGGGCCGTGCAGGGCGGCGGGCGCGGCGGGCAGGGGGAAGGGGTGGTGCAGGTGGGCTCCCGGGGGCGGGCGGTGGCGCTTGAAGCGCTTCCTGCGCCGGAGGAAGCTGC